AGGGGAGGGGGAGGGTGGGGCAGCGGGGCCGGGCGGGAGGCTAGGCCTGACCCTAGACTCTGACACCCCTTCCCGTCCCGCCCCCCCACGATGCTGCTCACCCTTTCCCGGCCCGGCCCGGCCAGGTGCTTCCTTTGGGCCCTGCCCTCGGATCCCCTCCCTGGCCCGGCGGTGGGGTGAGGGATGAGAGGTGGTGCCGAATGGAGACGGGGCTGGGGCCACTGGGTGCTGCTCTCCTCGGAGCCAGCCCTTGCGCCCCGTACCCTACAGGACGATCCTGCCTGTGATCTGACCAGCGCCTCCCTTACCCTGGCTCCCCCCACCCCCACCCCCGAGGTAGGCGTCGGAAATAGGGCGGACCCTCCCGAAATCTAACCCCAAATCGTGGGACTTCGGCCAAGTGGGAAATCACCCCCCGGATGTGAGGGAGGGAGCGGGGAGGAATGGCCGGGATGTGCCAGAGGGGCCGTGGGTTCCGAGCAGAGCAGGGTCACGAGGAAGAAGAAGAAGGATGACGGGATAGATGTCGGGGTCCGGTGAGGGGAGAAGCCGCTGGGGCTCTAGCCCCCCGCCCAGCCATAAGCTGCTCCGCCCTCACCCCTGACTTCCCCGTCCCTCGGCTTCACCATAAAAGGGAACGGCACGGAGCCAGGCTGGGCGGGGGGCTGGGCCGGAGCTGACAGGGGTAATGGAAGCCAGTTGCTTTGCGGTAGAGGGGCCCGGGCTCAGGGGACGCTGCTGCTCCTGAGCCAAAGAAAACCACAGGAGTTCCCATGGGGCCGGGCAGCGGGTGGGGGACCAGTGCCGCCTGTGTGCACAGTGCGCTGGTGTGCACTCGCCCAGCGTGGCCTTCCTGGCCTGGGACCGTCACCAGCGTGTCCGCCATGCTCTGGTCCAGTAACGCCTAAGTTCAGCCTCTGCCTTTCGTGGTCCTGGCTCCTCTGGCCTCGCCACTCACCCCAGCCCTCACCCAGTATTTCCCAGAGGTTTCCTATTTAGAATCCCAAGCCCATGTCCCCTCCACGTAACCTTGAAACCCCAGAATGTGTTTCCTCGAGGGGCCAGTCTGTCCCCAGCTCTGCTCGGGGAGAACGAGGGTCTAGGTCTTAAAGGATTACACACATTAGGCTTCATGTCCCCTGGAAATCTGAAGCAGATTCAAGTCCAAGCAGATCTTAGAGCTACGACTGGAACAGAACTAGATCCTGGAAAGCAGACTTTCCAGACTGCCAATGGCATGAGGTGCTGCAGATTTTCAAGCCTGTCCTGAACCCGCTGAGCCAGGTGCCAAGCTTCCTAGACTGTCAGAGCGGAAGGGTGCCTCCAAGATTGTTTTATAAAGAAGGAAACAGGCCCAGAAGGCAATTGACCACGGTTCTACGACCGGTTCGAGACCGTGTCACCTGATTCTCTTTCCTCTGATCCAGTGAACCCAGAACCATTGGTTTATTTGATATCAGTAGGTTGTCCTGGGTCAGGGACAGGAGGAAAAGGACGTATTTTAGAGCCATCCAGAAATGTCCTTCACCTCCCACAACTTCTTGTGCCTAGGTCACTGCGACTTTATCAGCCTTGAATGGGTCACTTGGCCTGGTGCCTAGAGGAACTGAAACAAAAATGGTCTCCAGGACAAAACTAGACCCAGCTAAGAACAAATAAAGCTTGAAAACAGCTTGGGTAGCAGAGTATGTGGGAAATGGGACAGGCACAGCCTCATCCTGTGAAGAATTGGAGGAGGGAGAGGATCTGGAGGGGGCACATGTGCAGCTTAATCTTTGTGATTAGTGTGACATTTTCAAGGAAAAGATGAGTTTAGAATTAGACTCAGGAGAAAAAATCAACCAGAACTGGGAGAAGGGGACTGAACCCTGAGTCCAGGGAGGTTGGTACCTAAAGTATTGCACCTGTAGAAGGGTTGGAAGGAAAAGGAAATGTATGCATTTGAGAGGAGGAGTAGACTTTTGCTCAAGAGTCCCCGCAAGTTTGAATTCCCATCTGGGTTTGCATGACTCAAGGCCTAATTCATATTATTCCCCCCTTTTCCCCTCTCAATATTTATCTCTGACAGATGCTTAGACATAAAGTGTTCCTTACCACTACTGGTGGCCCCTGGCCCGCCCTGGGCACGAGCTCGTTGCTCAGTTAGTGATGGTCGACTGGATGAGTTACGTCGTAGAGCCAAGATTGCCCATTGGCACTAGACCCTTGGAAATTCCCCATCTTGGAGCGGTTTTAAAATAGATACTGTCCTGGTGCCCCAGGGACTTAGCCTAGTTGACCTCAAGAATTCCAATTGCTTTGGAAATTTGTGGCCATCTGCCAATACTACCACTGCAGCCATCACTGCATTCTCCCTCATCTTGCCCAACGCCTCGGGCCTCCCCAGTGAACCCAGAGCCGCTGATTTATGTGATGTTTCACAGACATCCCTGTCAGCCCCGAGGTCTCGGCCCCTAATTATAGGACTAAATGATATGTAACATACTGCAATTGTATTTCAAAGCCAACATTTCTGACTTGACACACTTAAAATATAACCGGTTTTTAAACTTAAGGGGGCAGGCAAAGGGATGGGTGACAACTGGGCAGTGACGAGATGGCTGGGATGACTCCTCAGGTTGCCAGAGGCCTCCCGAGGGAGAGAAGAGGGGAAAGAACAGAGAAAGAAAGCCCACAGCAGTGGCCAGGGCAACCTAGAGAGGAAGTGGGTTGGCTTCCTGCCAGAGCCAGGGCCTAGAACTGATGCTGAGACCAGGGACGAAGCTGCAACCTTCCACCGGCAGCAACTTCGAAATCAAGATCTCCATCCGACACCTCTAAGGGGCAGCCACAGACTCCCATGTCTGTTGGTTCCAGGGCTTACTCTCACCATCCCATCTTCTTGTTGCATTGCTCCCAACCCTTAGCATTCACAGGACCTCAGAGGCAGGTCATTCAGTCACATTGAAGAGTTGGTGGCATCCTCCCATGGCTTCCAATCATTGCCCTGCAAACGGTTCCCAGAATCAAGATCCACATTTTGAATCATCTCCTGGACATCTATTTCTATTGAGATGTGTTACTCTCACCTTAAACTCAGTACAGGCCTACCTCGGAGATATTGTGGGTTTGGTTCCTAACCACAGCAATTAAGTGAATATTGCAATAAAGCGAGTCGTAATGCTTTTGCTGGTGAAGGAAGTAAATTTGTAAACATGTGTAACATTTTCTATTTGTAAAAAAAGCAACATCTGTGAAGCCTAATAAAGCTAAATGCTTGTATGTTTAAATCAAGGTCATCCTTCTTTCCTCCAAACCTGCTCCTCCTCTCAACCTACCCATCCTGGCTAGAACCCTGGCATCTTCGCTGGTGTCTCCCTTCATCTGCTCCCCTGGTACCCAGCCTTCTCTTTCAGGTCTGCACCACTTTGCAGTGCAGAATTTGGAAGGGACCTTAGACAACAGACCCCCAGTGGAGTCCCGGAACTTGCTCAAAGTGATAATGTAGTTAGAGGAGGAGCTGGAACCAGGATCCTCGTGCCCTAACACCCTGCCCACTGTTCTTGCTGACGGTCTTCGGTCTTCTCTCTGCGGGGATACTGATCCCCTCCTCAAAATTGTGCAATCCAGGCTCTTAGCCAGTTATCTGAGGCTCTCCCTGATTTTTCCGCAATGCACTTCTCTGACTTTCTATGCGACTTCTTGACACAAATAAAAGCTAACTGCTCATTTACCACATGCCAGGCAGTATTCTAAACTCTGTGTGTGTTAACGGCCCTCACAGACCTAGGAAGGAGGCACTGTTATTACTCCCAAGTTATAGATGGGGAAACTGAGGAGGACCACATTTCCCCACCTGAAACCTCTCTGTCTCTTCCAACACCTCTTTTCTGACTCCCGCAGCAGCCGCTGTCTTTCTGCTCCTCTTACCCACAACACACCTCCTCCATCTGCCTGGCCCCCTAGGCGCTCTGTCTATCCCGCGTTATGTTAGTTTCTGTTTTGGAGCTTGCGTCCCATTCCTCAATAGCCCCAGCTGCTCCTTACTGAGTCATACATACATGCCTTTGCACCTGGGCGCCTCCACAGTGCTCAGCACACAGCGCTCTCCTAGTACTTCCGCTCAGCCCTCCCAAGTGTCCCTCCACACAGGACCTGGTCCAGAACACAGCACTGAGGGCCAGGTGGTGGAGAGGGGCCCGCTGATGGAGAGGGGTCCGCTGACAGATCCCAACATCCCAGGAGGCGCTGCCTGTCGGGTCAGGCTGACGCTGAGTCCTATGAGTCCCCAGCTGCTACAGAGGCTGTCAGACTTCCTTTACTCTGTAGTAGGGCTCAATTTGTCTACCTCCCTTCCCTCCCCCACTTACGGCCTGACCCTCCCCAAGACTAGTCTGGGGCCCATATTCATTTGGCCTTTTTAGAATGAGAGTCTCCTCTCGCCCAAGTTCTCCATGCTTGACAAGGTTGCTCCCCATTTCCAGATTCCTTCCTTCCCCTCTGGCTTCTCTGAATCTCCTGCCTGCCTCGTGGAGTCCTTGTCCTTTGCCCTGGCCCAGTAGCCCTCTCTCCTATTCTCCTTTTTTCTCCCAAGTCACTGACTAGGTATTTAGATTTTAATCTCAGCTCTGCTCTTAACTTGCTGTATTACCTTGGACAAGTTCCTTTCCCTCTCTGAGCCTCAATTTTCACATCCGTAAAAGGAGGGAGCTAGACTGGATGGTGAGTGATATTCTGCTGAGCTCTCC